AGAGTCTGCTTGTGATTCCTTGTCAAATTGAAGAATGAATAGCATTAATTGGAGAAAGAGATTACAAAGATACATCAAAGCTTACGGAAAGATTTGAACCCGCAACCTCTACGCTGAAGAGCGTTTGAAAAATAGCGAGACTACTCGCCAGGGAGAACTCTCAAAATTTTATTATGCGGCTATTTTAAAACTTCGATCAAGAAAACTTGGCTGAAACCTTAAACCAGAGACTAGGATTGAACTTAGTGGAAACTTTAACCAAGAAACTATTCATTTTTTAAAAGAATCCTTTGTACAGCAAAATTACATCGATATACATGCCGTGCATAAAATTAAGTTAATGTACTGTCAACTGAAGATTTTTTCCTTAATCCAAATGAAGTAACTATTTTATTTCTAAAAGAGCTCTGCACACAACGAAAACTACATCAGTGTTGTTAAATTGAGTTTATCAGTTGATGTTGTAGTTCATTTACGTCGCACAAGAGCTGCACAATGGGTTATTAGTGAGTGTCTGGGAAACATTTCTGAGGATGATCCGAAGACATGCCATCACAATTTTGATCAGAGGGGATGGCACCCCCGCTTCGGTAGCCCAACGACCTGCGCGCGAAGTGAAGCACTTTACGGTAGAACAGTTTAACGAGGACCAATACCGCACACCCTTGGTCCCTATGCAGACTAATCCAAGTGGTCATCCACCCGCACACTGACCGCAGCCAGTGATGCTTAACTTCGGTGATCATCCACCCGCACACTGACCGCAGCCAATGATGCTTGACTTCGGTGATCTGCCGGGAACCGTGTGTTCTTAACGATCTGTCCACTGTGGAACGACAGTTGAAAATTAAAGACTCTATCTTTGAGTGAAGCTTTGGTTAAGCCGTTAACTTTTCTCTTTGTTGCTCATCCCAACCTTAATAATAAAATTGATCCTAGTTAAGAAACATATTCTTGTAACTTAAATATTAATTCATAACACTTAATGCTTAATTATTTTCAAGGATTCCAAACATACAATATGAGAGGAAATTATTATAAATATCGTGTATGGATTACTTTCTATTAATTAAAATGAAACGACGGAAATCAAAGTTTGTAGACAGTCGCCATGAAGAATATTAAGTATAAAAGATAATTTGGAAATGCAAGCAATGGTTAAATCAACTTTTATCAGATAAAAATAATTAACGAAATTTTCTTTCTTTGAGTTATTTGGTTCAATAATTAAAATTTAAAATGACAAATAAATAATTGATTACTAATTGACAACGGATCCTCCACGGGACTAATATTAATGATCTCATTTTATGGGAAGATCTGAAATGGCTGTATAAGCAATAAAATGGTTGCAAATCAAAAATGGCAGAGAAGTAAATTTATCGACATAAAATACTTTTAAATATTCCTTTCTTTTGAATTTTATCAATGGTATAAAGAAATAGGAATTATTTGTTTGGTTGATATATATATTTGGGGACTGGAAAGAAATGCTTTTTTAATGTATTTCGATATTTATTGATGAACTTATGGTGAGCTTTATACGAAGTCGTGCCGAATGCATTTTAAGGTTAGAATGTCTTATCCATTTAACGCATCTCCCTTTCATCTATTCTCTTTCTGACGCTCTAATTACAAGCAAAAAAAATATTTTGATGTTTTTTACTTATAAAGAGCAGTCTAATTGTTACTCAAAAATCTGTTAGGTTATCGGAATTATATTTGAGCTAAAATATAAAATCAAAAGTAGTAGTTTGAATTTTTTTTTATTCATATTCAAAAATTTATCGATTATTAATTTTGTAAATTAAAGAAATTTCAACGAGGAATATTTGTTTCGCTTCAATCTAAATAACTGCAAATAAGTGCAAATATGAAAAATCATTATTTCAAGGTGAGCCGTGTTTAAAAGATTTTAACTTTAACGCAGAAAAAGACAGCTGTGTTTCATGCTGCATTTCATAATCGTGAATTCTTAAAATGCTAAGTATGATTTTTTTTACTAATTTTGACCTAAAATAAAAATAATTAAAAAAGTATTAAAAATATACTTAGTAAAAATTCTGCGTCAAAGGGTTATGGTTGCACAAAATTTAAACGCTAACCGGCGTTTCAATCTATTTTTAACTATGTAATCGTACTTAAACTTGACTGCACAATAATATTGTTCAACTCGAACTTAAACATAGTTCAATTTAATAACGGAAAGGTCGCAGTAAATCTACAGTATATTAGGTTTCACAGTACAGATATTTTGATTCACCTTTACTCCCATATTTCTAAAAGGGTGGTTAAAGTGAAAAATAGATTTTTTATTACGTAAGAACAATAAAAAAAGACCTTTATTTGACTTATTTTTCCATAAATGATCACAAGTGATTGGGGGTTTAAAATGATCTTCCAATTTGGTCGTGTTTTGTCCAATAATATGAGTCTTTTATGAGCATCTTGCACATAAAATGCATTATCTGAAAAGAGTTTTTATATGCATCAAAATGAAGGATATCTTTTTATTGATGTCTATGATGAGCTGTTAAGATGGATTATAGAGGCTGTGAATATTTTCAAGAAAGAATGGCCAGGAAATATTTTCTGTTTTTAGCATTATTAACTGTATCATTCAAGTAATGCTTATTTCTTTATTCCCATATGACAAAAAATGCATGAATTTAAAAAAAATAAGTAATCTCAGATTTAATTTAAAACTTTAAATTAGAATTAAGCAAATAAAATGTCGAGTTCTTCATAACAGTTTTTAAGTTTTTTTTTAATTACGTAAAAAGCATAAAATAAAAATTTATGAATAATTAATTTTGCATGTTACTAAATTTTACCAAAAATATTTTGATATAAACTAACATCAATTATAATGAACATTCCAAATTTATTAATTTCATTATTCAAAAGTTAAAATCAAAACTATTTCAATTTTGAGTGTAGTGATATATTAAGAACCTCATATTAATATCTACCTTTCTGAATATGCATAAACAACATCGAAACAAAATATTTATTGTATGTAGAGAAAAATAAATTGCCTTTTCAAAATGTAAAATAAAGAATAAAAATTTTCAGCTAACAAACGTCTTAAAAAAACACTTAACACCTAATTTAAACTCACAAGTTAACCATCAAATAAGTATGGATGGTTATTTCAATATAAATGTAAACAATAACAATCTCGAGCTGCTCTAGTTCCGGTTCGAAAGTTTGCAGCTGCTTACTACAGCTTATTCTGCGGTATTTTCAAACGAATAATTGTGTTTTCAATAAAAGAAATAAATTAGATCATTTCTGAGCTCGTATTTCATAACATATTAATGCTATTAAGTAATTCTGGTGAGATAGAAGTAAAAATTTGTTTTACTTATTTATAGTTAAAAAAGGTGACATGGTTGCTAGATTTGAAAAAACTATTGATTTGGTCTCTTTCCATTTGTTTATTACTGTTTTTTCTTGTTGCAAGCTGTGCACACGTTAGTGTTAGCATATTGTTCGAGCAGCAAGATTAAGTTTATGAATTATAATTCAGGTTTTAATTTGAAAGTTGGCATATATTATTGAAAAGGTAAGAAGTGTTTTATAACGATTCTTTCTTCAAATGTTAGGTTTACATATTTATTATTGATCAAACCACACGTTACTTCTACTTAACACTACTATTTCACAATTAATGTTAAAATCATATACCCTTTATAATTTTAACATTAATAAAGTAATATAAGCATAAAGTCTTTTCACTATTTCTCTTATTATATAACGACATCTTTATTAGTTATTGCATGTGTTATTTAGACTTAGAATTCATTATAAACACAAGTAATAAAGAAGCAAATACAACGTTTGCAAGAACTACTATTCAAAAGAATCTCAAAACACAATGATCACGTTCTGAGTCAAATGGCTTCAAAATACACCAGAAACAGTAACCCGGAAGTATAGACGGTAAAGAGCCTGCAGTGCTCCCTAGTGTAGAAAACACCATCCATGTGTATACGGTATGTTATATGTATACCTATTTACAAAAACTATATGTAAATAGGTATACGGTTATGTCAGTGTATAGCTCATCCACCGTAAGAAGACGATCGACCTTCAGAGAGTAAATTTCTAAGGGATGAGATTAGACTGAAGAATCGTGAACGATGAATTTTTCCACCACTTACCATAATATAAGCTTACCCACGAAGTAATGCATAATGTAGCTTCAAGGAGAAAATGGTATGATGCATGTGTTCAAACTAAATTGATATTTTCTACTGTTACTACCATTTTACACCACTTTATTTTTTTTTTACCAAATCTAATCACGGATATCTGAATCATATATAAATAATGGTGAGGGAGGATCTTTTAATTCTCCTAGAGAAATGAGGATTTTGAAAGTATATTGTCCAGCTGTCGAAAAATCAATAAAAGCGACAAAAAAAATTCGAAACTGCAATTTTTATACATTTTCATTTTTTGTATAGTCGTCTAATTTCACTACTTATTGCAAAAAAAAAAAAAAAAGCAGATAAATAAAATTAATTTTAAAAATTAATAAATTTTGCTCTATCAGTTTTTCTAAATTCTATTTCAGCGTTCATAGCATTAGGAACATAAAGTAAATAGTTGTCAAGCTACTTTACTCAAAATCTATTGTGAAGCACTTACCTTGTTTTTATCAATCACACGTCAGAATAGCCCTATCACAATACATGTTCTTTTTAAGAGTATAAAACTTGGTATTTTTTTTTAAAAGGTATGACGCTAGGGACTAACGGGTTAAACTCGTTTCTACGGAACCCATTTTTAAATAACTACAGCAGAGAGAACTACTCTTTCAATATTTCAAAAAATATACATGTTCCATTATTTTGTTCGCTGTTTTACGTCCGTTGCAAAGCAAAACATGATTTCACAAATAATGGTTTACTATAAATGCCCGAAAAAAGTTATTTTGCACTAAAAGTCATTTAGCGTTTCACTATTAAGAATTTTCAAATATTAAACAATACCTGATAAAGTCTAGTAGCTTACGAACTTGTCCACACATGCTTTTTTGAGGCATTTCTTGTTGTGTTATTCCTGTTTCCCGCTTTCTTCCAGTTAATGGAGAATGGCTGAAGCGAGAGTTTAGCATCTGTAATAAAAAGTAATAAATATTTCATTCATTTATCCCCTAATCCAAGAATGCATGGATGGCACACAATCCTAACTCAGAAACATACATCATATATTGAAAAGACATAAAAAAAAAAAATTTTTTTTTGCTGAAATATCAGTAATTTAGCCATTTATACAAATCTCAATTATTAAATTGTCAGTCATAATTTGAAAACTATTATTTTTTGTTGTTACTTATTCCACTTATCCATATCAGAAAGTCAGCTTTGGGAAAATAAGGGAATTTAAAGAAGAGGGGAGAGCTTCCTGTTTTTCAGAGGCACCATTTATGGCCAAGAATATGATATCAGCCACACACGTGTCTCTGACCATTCGTACAACCAGATAACGATCAATCTCCAATTCATTACTTCCAGATGTATTTTATTTCATAACCGTCATTGAACAGCGGACGCAATTTTTTGGGTTTACGGCTAACTACTAATGTTCAACTCTGTAGCCTTGTAATTTTGAACCCAATCCAAAGAACAAAGGAACTCCTGTAGCAAGTATTGGGAGAAATTTTCTTTCGTGGAGGGCTTTTCGATAGAACTAACCCGCATTTGCGTTTCATGGAGAGGAAAACCTCGCGCGGTGAGCCTGACGGCAAGGGGACTCCAACCAGTGATCCGTCTACCACTGAAGATATTTTTACGTCAGCACTGTGGTCGGTGCGAGCCGGGAGCGGAATTCATATCTACCAGCTATCACTGGGATTCAAACCCAGTGCGCCTCATTGGAAGTCGAATGCTCTTTCCCCTGAGCCACCACGGCTCCCCAAGATGTATTGATTTGATATGGGAGCTTAAAGGACTTTGTGACCCCGACAGATTTAACATGCACCAGTCACTATTTAATGCACTGGAATTCTTCAGCCGGCGGGATTCGAACTCAGAATCTCAGGAACGCAAGCGCAACGTCCTACCAACTAGGCTATCTTGGCCCCAACCATTATTTTTAACCATTTAACATATCGAACTGTATGGAAAAAATAAATCGTCAGGAATGGTATAACACTTCTTTTATGACATGACATTTTTAGTGACATAACATATGGTTTGTTTGGAAAGTGGGAGTATTAGTAATTGTAAATCAATTTATTGTAAACTTTGATTCAAATAGAAAACATATTTAAAACTTCCTTAATTCAAATGGTTCATATATTTTCATATGTCATGAGCCTCTAAAACCCAAGAAATCAACCATTATGACAGCAGAGGTTGCTGATCTAGGTAGACTTCTTGTTGAAAGGCTGTATACTTCTACATATCTTTGAAGGTAATGTATACTTGAAAAAGTCTTGGAACCCTACACTATAAAAAATTCTTGATCAAATTATGGTAAAAACTACCAGCACTCAGTTTGCCAGTACTTTTTAACGTAAAATTTTACGGAACAAAAAATTTGATATAAAGTAGTGTCTACGGTATTATTTGCTGTAAAATTACTGTAACGAAAAGTTACGGTATAAAATTCTACGATCAATATAGATTTTAAGGTAAAATAGATTTTTCAGACATTGCACTCATGGCTCCAGTACTTTTAGCTGCAATTTGATCCGGAATTTTTTACAGTATACGTTTGCTTTTTAAGGAAACCGTTGACCTCAGCTTCTTTTTAGTGGACGACAATGCGTGATCATAATTATTTGGTCGACGATTTTCAGGAAAAGCGAAATATTTGTTCAATGAATTAGGCGGTCTCCAGACCTCAACCCTATAAAGAAGGGAGGTAATGTAGAGGGTATTTGAATCTCGCAAACTCCCTTTAAAATGGACCAGGAAACAATGTTGCTGAATGATCACTGGAACATTGCTTTAAGAAAACACTCTGTAAGCCTTTTCTTTTTGTTCGATTCTTTGACTCACACCTTCTCATAACTGTAGCGATATTTTACCTCCTGCATTTATTAGATCAACCTATGTTCATTAAAGTCTTTCTCGCAGTCCGAAGAGTAATTTTAATTTTGAACATCATGGTATTTTTATGGTCACCTGCGACGAGATTGTAGAGTATTAACCTTTCATGAACCCTTGATACAAACATGGGCTGGTGGCCTGCTAAAATAAAAATACGACTTTTTCAAAATTCTATTTCTCAGAAACTATTCGACCGTTTTCGCTCAAATTCTGTATACAATGAATACGTAAAAAGTTAAATTAGCATTAAGGGGTCCAAGATTTGGACCGCTCCCTTGACATTACTATTGGGAACATATTTCCCTGTTTGCGGCTACCCCCTACATTTTGGAGGTCAGAAATCCGAATCCAACAAAAAGGGGTATGTTTATTCAGAGAAAGTATGTTTTTGCGTCTGATTTCATAATTTAAAATATCGTCTGTACTAATTAATTAGCATTGTTAAAATCACTTCCTCGAATTTTTAAGATTGAGTCCCAGAACGTGAAGATCCAATTATTTCATCAAAAATTATTCAGGGTGAACAGTGTTTTATATTGCACACTACACAACGTCTTTGATGCATAACATTTTGATAATTTATTATTTATGAATGCTTATTTACTTTTTGTTTAATTGTTTGCTCTCGTTTTTGTTCGGAAAATGCGAGCAAACAGAAAAAAAATTAAAGATGCCTTTCATTAAAATTTTAATATTGTCAATGGTGATCTCTGATTCTCGTTTTGATAAAATAATCATCTTAAAAATCACATCTACTATTTAAAATATAGGTATTATACGAATAATAGAACAGATGAATGTCTGACAGGAAAAAAACGGGTTAATAACAGTTTTAATTAAAAATTTTAATAATGCATAGTATCATTCACAGTTATCATTTATACAGTTATTATTCAATAATTTTCAAAATTACAGCTTTATATGATTTAAGAATGGTGTTTATTATTTATGAACGCTTATTTTTCTGACTTTCATATCTTAACAAATATATAAATAGTAACTTTCAACGTGAGTACTTACAAATTATGAAAAATACTTGATCTAAAATATGAATTAAGACAATTTAATAGTTTTACTTAGCAATTACTTCTCCATTATAGTTTTTCATTTTTTTATTAATTATTAGAAAATTGGTGACATAAATAGTAATATTTGAACAACTAGATTACTGTAAACAACATTACAAGCAAATGTTGTAAGGAAAAATGTAAATATTAAACAATGTTTCAAAAATATTTTGTATGAAATACTTTATTTTAACAGATTATGGTGGATTTAATTTAAAAGAGTCTGATAATTTTAAAATTTTATAGGGAAATAAGCTAATTTTCCTTGTTCATTTTAGTATGAGCAACATGGACGCCAAGAACAGGAAATAAAACTACTCCGTACAAAATACAACTTAGTCCCCTTTGAGCTAATCGATTATCTTTCAATTGTTGGAGACAAATCCTATAAATTAGGCTCATATTTTTCTTTCTTTTCTTTTCTTCAGTGCTCTTACTTAGGTCTCGCTCAAATACTCGATTTCCAGACTAAGAAAGAGTCGAGGGTGTGAGCAACGCTCTACATCCCAGTCTATCCCAAGAAAATATGGGCGAAGTTCGGGCGTGCGCGAAAAAAGATCGTGGCTAGACGTTTTCATTACTCATTAAAAGAAAAAATAAAAGAACTATGCTTATTAAGTCTACAGTTTCACCGACCTATTCAATATAAATATGTAAATAAGCTGATCAAAATATATATAAAGCTCTTACTTGTGAATTTGAAAGAAAAAATAAATTAGGGTGGATTTCAAATTTGAGAAATTTTTTTATGCCCGACAAAAGAATAATTTTTATTGTGGACAAAAATAATTGTGATTTCAAGAAAAAAACATACGATTGGGAGTTTTAATGTATAATATAACAAAAATTTGTTAAACGCTTTATTTTCTATACATTTATAACAAAAAGTAATCCTAGAAAATACACCGTCCAATGCGACAAATTTCATTTTTATATTTTTCAGATTTCCAATGTGTAGAATAACTTCAAGATGTATCTAACTGAAATCTAATTTTACCTGGCGAAATACAAAATTTGAGAGAAATTCGTTGAATAGTTCCAGAGAAGTCGAATTTTAAAAAGTCGCATATTTAAAATTCGAGTTCTCAGGAACTAATCAGCCGATTCCACTCAAATCTTTTATTTTGTCATGTAAAATTAGATACTGCAAAACTATGTAAAAATTTATATACATTACAATTCAAAAGTTTTTTCGACTGCTATTCAATAAAATGATAAAAAGTAGTAAATATTTATTAAAATTTATTTTTTGCATGGAATTATCTTTGGATGAACTCGTTTTACAGTAGTGTTCAAAAATTTTAAAACTCACTTAAAACGTTCTCGAGATATAGAAAAATACGCAAAAAATGAAATTAACATCAAGGGATGCAAACTTTGTATCGCTCTCCTGATCAAACTACGGGGACCATATTTCGACTACCCCCTATATTTTGGGGTTCAGAAATCCGAATCTGTCAAAAAAACAGATATAATTTGTCAGAGAAAGTACGTTTTTGTGTCTAATTTCGTAACTTAAAATATCGTCCACTAATCAATTAGCATATTTGACGTCACCCACTCGAACCATCAAGATGGAGTCCTAGAACGTGAAGATTCGATCATTAGACCAAAAGTTATTTAGGATAATCTGTTTTTTTTTTTTTCTTCACATTGTGAGTAGGTGGATCAGATATAAATGAGACTTTTTTAATAACATCAGATGATTTTTATTCTCATTGTCATGATAAGAATAAAGATTAAAAAATACTATTTTTGAATACCCTACACTGTAAAAAAATCTGGGTAAATGTTTAACCAATACTTGGTGCAAAGTTTCTAATTGCACCATAAATTGGTTAAATGAAAAATTGTTTTATTTAAGTTGCACCATAAATTGGTAAATATGATCGAGAAATACATTCATGACGCAATTGGTTGCACTGAACTTTCGTACTATGAGAGGCACAAGCTTTAACTGTGACCGATAACTTATTTTGTAACTTT